TTTCAAAATATCAGAGGTAGGCTTTCTGGAGATGTTATGAGAGTTTTGCGACATATTACATTGGCTTTAAGCAAAAGTCACGAGCCGGAGGCATTAATTGGCATACAAAAATGGGCTACTACAGCGTTTTCTTCATTGTTTAAAGATGACAAGCAGTATGTTAATGACAGAGGGACACTGGGATGTTTTTCTTGGATTAATGGGTTGGTGTATCAAGCTGAGGGTCAGCATGAAAAAGCTGCCGCTCACTTTATTCATTTGTTACAGACTGAAGACTCACTTACACTTATGGGCTCTGATGGTGTGCAATTTACCATAGCTCGTATCATAGAGAGCTATGTAGCAGTTTCTGATTGGAAGTCTCTTGAATCATGGCTGTTGGAATTGCAAACACTTCGTGCCAAGCATGCTGGAAAAAGTTACTCAGGTGCATTAACCACTGCTGGCAATGAAATAAACTCTATACAGGCATTGGCTCACTTCGATGAGGGTGAGCTACAGGCAGCATGGTCATGCCTTGATTTAACCCCAAAAAGTAGCAATGAACTAACCCTTGATCCGAAATTGGCACTTCAAAGGAGTGAACAAATGCTCTTGCAGGCTATGCTTTACCAAATTGATGGAAAGGTGGACAAGGTGGCACAGGAGTTGCAGAAGGCAAAGTCAATGCTGGAGGAGCCATTGTCTGTTTTACCCCTTGATGGGCTGTCAAGGGCAACACCATATGTCAACCAGTTATATTGTCTCTTGGCATTTGAAGATGGTTCTAAGCTCAATGAAGACCAACACCAAAGTTTTCCATCACTATTAAATTCATATCTTCAAACAATGTATTCCCCTATCAACCAGATTCATCAGGATTGCAGTATATGGCTAAAAGTTCTGCGAGTGTATAGAACTGCACATCCATCTTCTCCTTTAACACTTAAGCTTTGCAACAATGTGATGAGCCTTGCCCGTAAGCAAGGAAACATAAGATTGGCACATCGTCTTGAAAAATATCTGACGGACAATATATCTACTTGCCCACAGGGCAGTACACGTGATAATATAATTTCTTGTTTGAATTATGAGCGAATAATACTGAAGTATGCTGAAAACAAGATTGAAGATGCATTCACCACTATGTGGTCAGTTCTGCGTCCTTGCATGGTCTCACCGTCAGCTGCATCTTCTAATTACTTTGACAATGCTTTGAAGGCAAAGGCATGTCTGAAACTCTCTCGTTGGTTAAAACACAACACTTCACATGCAGGATTGAAAGATACAGTCCTCAAAATGAAAGATCACTTCAATTGCCATGAAAATTATTGTGGCAAAGAAGGATCTAGTTTTGATTATGCCCCTCTACCTTCTAAGGAAAATGTGAACCTTATTTATGAGGAATTTATGGGCACTGCTACAAAGTTGTCTTCTCGTCTGTGCCCCACCATGGGAAAGTCATGGATATCATATGCTGTTTGGTGTTTAACTCAAGCTAGATCATCCATGCTCGTACCTGCTGAAAGTGCCCTCCAGTATTGTACATTTTCTCCCATTCTTGCTTCTGAACTTCTTCCCGGAAGGTTTAGGTTAACAAATGAAGAGTTATTGAAAGTGAAAGAGATTGTTTTTCAATTACTTTGGAATATATCTCTTGTAAAAGAGTTGAATGAAAATGAGGGAGATTTTGATTTGAGTTTCAGATGTTCTGAACATATAGCAAATGAAGGTCATACTAGGCCTTTATTGCAGCGGATTGTAGATATTATCGAGTCTGAAGCTGGAGTTCCTGGAACTGAAGATTTTTGTGGGGAACGTCTGTGTGCGACCGTAACTTCTAAGTTGCAGAAATGCTTTGAAACTATGGAGTTACCCATGGAAGAAGCTTCTTTGGTTTCCCTGATTGGTGATTTGGTTGATATTTGGCGGTCTTTGAGGAGGAGGAGAGTCTCTCTTTTTGGTCATGCGGCCCAAGGGTTTTTGAATTTCCTTTCACATACATCTTCAAGAAGTTATGATGGACAATTAAATGGATTTGATAGAGTATCAAAGTATAAGACCATGAGTTATACTCTCAAAGCCACACTATATGTCTTGCATATTCTTGTCAATTATGGACTTGAGCTAAAAGATACCATTGGGCCTGCATTTTCTGCAGTTCCTATGCTACCATGGCAGGTGAGCTTCTGCTTATATGTAATTTCTTTTCGAAGATTTATTTTTTGGCTTTCTGATTATATCTTCCTTTTGAAGGAAATAATTCCTCAACTTTTTGCTCGATTGTGCTCCCATCCCGAGCAAGTGGTTCGGAAGCAGGTAGAGAGCTTACTAGTAATGCTAGCGAAGCTGTCTCCTTGGTCAGTTGTGTATCCAACTCTTGTTGATGTTAATTCTTGTGAAAAGGAACCTCCTGAAGAGCTTCGCCAGATACTAGCTTGTTTGGTAATATTCTATTTAACGTGCCATGCAATTCTCTGCGGGATGGATTTTACTGGGTTTGTTGTGGTTTGTATAATTTCTTTGTTTGCTGACCAGGTTTTTACTTTTTAGGATCAAGCTGCTAGGTTTTTAGGAGTAATTTGTGGAATACTCTGTTCTTAATATAGCTCTCCAAACATGCACATACATGTGTGTGTGTGTATACGTACATATGTATGTATGTGTGTGTGTGTATATATATATATGTATGTATGACTGTATGTATATATATGAGCTGTAATGCTGTAATGTTAGATCAAGAAAGTATTTTGATATTATCACTTATTCACACTCCCTTTGTTATTTATAATTGGTAATAGACTTGTATGAATAATTTACACCTTGGCTGGTTATTCCCAGGCTCACTAACGGGGTTTTCATCATGACTTGTGCCAAAATGACTACCACATAAATTTATCTGCTACCTTTTTTCTTAAATGGCAGAACAAGCTATATCCTAAATTAGTTCAGGATGCCCAGATGATGATTAAAGAACTTGAAAATGTAACAGTCCTTTGGGAGGAACTTTGGCTCAGCACTCTTCAAGATCTTCATGCAGGTATTTTCTGCCGGCAGTACATGCATTTGTTTTGAATTCTTTACCAAATGGTTCAGAATTTCAGAATTTAATACTCCCCTTGTAAAATTATGTAAAGTTAACTTTATTCTTTTTTTTTGGGGGGGGGGGGTCCAGCAAGAGTGAGCTATTATAACCTAGGGTCTAGGGAGTATATGTTTTTTGATGGGTGGAGGGAATTGGGACCAATATTTCAGACTTGCATGTTGGAATTTTAATGCTTGCTATTCCAACTGTGTAAAAGTTATGTATACTTGTCCTAGGAGATTAAACCAGATTAAATGCACCGACGCACAAATTTCTATGGGAACTAGAGCTTGAGAACATTGTATATTCATCCTTGGTGTTAATTACTGCATTACATGCCTCTTAACACCTCAAGGCTTTCATTGTTTTAACTTCTCTTAAATGAATGATTGGTTAGATGTAATGAGACGCATACATTTGCTGAAAGACGAGGCTGCACGAATTGCAGACAATGTAACTCTGAGCCTTGGGGTGAAGAGTAAGATAAATGCTGCTAAATATTCGGCGATGATGGCTCCTATAGTTGTTGTTTTAGAGCGGCGCTTATCTTCTACTTCTCGAAAACCTGAAACACCTCATGAAATGTGGTTTGATGAAGTTTACAAAGAGCAAATTAAAGCTGCAATTTCAAACTTCAAGATACCTCCTGCATCCAGTGCTGCACTTGGGGATGTTTGGCGACCATTTAACAACATTGCTGTGTCTTTGGCATCTTATCAAAGGAAGTCACCAATATCACTAGCTGAAGTTGCTCCACAGCTGGCTCTTCTCTCATCATCTGACGCTCCAATGCCGGGTCTCGAGAAGCAAATAATATATTCTGAACCAGAAGAGGGTGATACTGCTCCCAAGGAAATTATCACAATTGCTTCGTTCTCTGAACAAGTAACTATTTTATCAACCAAAACAAAACCAAAAAAGATTTTGATTGTGGGGTGTGATGGGGAAAAGTACATCTATCTGCTAAAAGGGAGAGAAGATCTGCGTCTTGATGCAAGGATCATGCAGCTACTTCAAGCAATAAATGGCTTACTACATTCTTCATCTTTAACTGTAGGTCAGCCTGTTGGCATTCGCTTTTACTCTGTGACTCCCATTAGTGGACGTGCCGGTCTCATTCAGTGGGTTGATAATGTAGTAAGCATTTATAGTGTCTTTAAGGCGTGGCAGAGTCGGGTTCAGGTTGCAGAACTCTCAGCAATGGGTCCTAATGCAAAACATAGAGGTCCTCCCCCTATCCCTCGGCCAGTGGACATGTTTTATGGGAAAATTATACCTGCGCTTAAAGAGAAAGGCATTAAGAGAGTGATATCAAGAAGAGATTGGCCTCATGAGGTGAAGAGGGAAGTACTTTTGGATCTTATGAATGAGACTCCTAACCACCTTCTTCATCATGAGCT